CCTTCAAGGAAGCACACGGAGATCAGCATGGGTGCAGAGCCAGTGGCCAGCCCCACCATCTCACACTGGCTCCAGCATTTCTCTTAGGAGGGCCTGTTTCTCCCCTGGTGATGCCCACCTTCACACAGCCACACTGGCTCTGAGCGCAGGCACTAGCCATCCCCCTGCTAAAGCCCCTTGTGCCAAGGGCCTGCTTCATGGCCCCATCTCTCTTGCCATGGAAGAGGCAAACCAGAGGAAAAAAACAGGGTCCCACCCCAACATTTCCCTTCCAGGGCCTTGCAAAGGCAAAGCCCTGTCACCATGAGGATGTTGCCCTGCCCAGAGCCAGGCAGCTGAGAGAACTCCATGCACAGTGGGTACTGGTGAGCAGGGCCACTCACCATGCGGCTGTTGGAGACATGCAGGTCGGCAGCCACTCCCTCCAGACACAGTAAAAGGCTCTGCCAGCATTGCCCAAAGCCATGTAGTGACAAAGGCACTGCTGCATTTGAACCCCATACTACAGGATCACTATTAGCAGTCTGTACCTCCACCACCACAGTGCTGTCAGGCTGCAAATTGCAACAGAGCTGCTAAGTGACATAATGTTGATTTTGAATACACTGGTTGACTGTGTGTAGGTAATGATGTCTTTCTGAGACTATGCCCTGCCTGGGGACAGATGAAAGGATTCACTGGCACAGTTAATCCTTCCCACCCAAGGATGCTTGATCATATGCTTAATTATATACTTTACTCTTGTATTAACTGTAAGGGCTAAGATACACCACATAAATTGGCTTTATGTCATCATTACATTTCTGTGATACTGTTGTTCCTCCAGTGTGGTCGTTTACCTGGTGTACAACACACCCATATACACAGAGCAGAGGTGTGCTTATTTCATGTTTATGGAAAAATCATTGCTAGGTGGTAATTCCACAGAGCTAGCACCCTGCAAAAAAGTTCAGTGTATTTATACACTTGGGACTAAACGAATACACATTTACTGTAATGACCATTGTGTAGTTTCTTATCACTTTGGTTCCTCATTGGTTAGTTATACTTAAATTAGCCTCTCTTGCTATGTAAATTAGCATGTCTGCTCCTTACAGGTGGGCAGGGGGAAAAGTCTTTTTGGTCTTAAATTGGTCAGTGGTCATGATCTCCCCCTGCCACCTTTACCTTTCCCCCAGTTACCAGATTTTTGCTGACTTTCTGCTTCTTTGGCAATTACTCAACTTCCAGCACCTTCTGGGCAGGATGTTCCCTTTTTATCAGCCTTTTAGCTCCTCTTTAAGGGTATAGCCTAGCAAGGCCTGCATCATTTATATGAAGTATTGGGTTTACACAACAGAGCCAATGTTTAGTGGTCCTCCTTAGAGGATTTAAATACAATATATCCAACTCTAACTTGAATAGTATCACTATAACCTAGGCACTTAGTCAAACATACGGTTTTACACGGGTAGCAATACCAATTGGATTGTTACCATTGTTTTAACTGTAGCATTTTGTGCAATTATAATAGTTGTTAGCAGTGTTATTTTGGTAGCTCAACTAAAGATTTTAATCAAACAAATAATCTCTGAGAGTCATGCCTTTTACTCCAAACTTCAAAATAATGAAAATGAACATTGGTGCAGAAAGTTTTTTTGTCAAATGCTCTTAAACATCATTAACCAGGTATTTGGTATAGGTCTTTCTAATTCTATTTGATTTGGTTTTGAAGTTTGGGATAGATTGATCAAATTTGACAAATACAATAAAATGAACTGGGCAAAAGTGAGATAGGTGAGAAAGATCATTATACTCTGGCCCTTAGCTAATTTGCCATAGGTAATTTCTCAAATCTAACTGCCATGATCTCCACTCTTACTGGATGACAGAAACAAGCACTGATTCCATGGTGGCTTCACATTCACTTGAACACACTGACACAACTTCTGTTGGTCTTGCAGGGCAGCTTAGCTGTCCATTCCCTCCTTGCCAAAATCTGCTCTGCTGCTCCCATCAGAGGCCAGGAAAGAGAGCAAAGAACATAGGAACATTAATGTCACAACCTAAACAGTTACCCAGTCTGTGGGTATGTAAAGACCATAATGTCTGGGTAATCCTTTAGGTCATGACAGTAATTGGTGTCAGAAGTGGGATTCTGTAAAATACAGGCAGTGGAAGAGCAGCAAAAATGGCAAGAGGGTAAGGAACGAAAACACCTGGGTGGGACAATAACTGGGTGACTGAAAATTGTTTTGATTGGGAAACAGTGAGAGCAGAATTTCAGGAGTGCAGAAAATTTGTTTATGTAAGGCAATGGAACGCCCTTCACTGGGCTTTTCACAGAGGCATTAGCAGCTGCAGACACTTTACTAAAGATTTCCAGGCAGGAAGCTCAAGATGTGTTATGCTTTGCAGAAACACAAACAGCTGCCTTTGAATCTCATACCCATGTTCACAGCCAATTACTGCGACAATCAGAAATTAATCTTCGACCTTGGCTTTAGGACAGATAGAGCAAGAACACGCATGCCCAGTCTCAAGAGAGCAAGCTCGTTGAAAATAAATGTACTCTGAAAACTGATAATGAGGAGGATGATTTTGATCTTGGCAATGGGCCTCCTACCCCCACCTTATTACCCGAGTCTCATCCAGATAAGACAGCTTCCTTGTACCCTATCATTAAAACTTAAAATATATACAACTTCCAACTCGTAGATAGAGGGATTTCCAAGGAAAAAAAAAATTGTACATCTGAGAAGCAGCTGTTTTCTGTGACTCAGAGTTGCAAGGTAAAATGAAGATGACATATGGAGGAGACAGCAGCGCAGAGGTTTGAAATGGGTAAGAGAGGTCTAGTACCTGGCAGGGTTAGCTGGCCAACAGGGGCTGTTTGGACATGGTCCTTGACACAAAGATTGGAAGCAGTGGAAAGGAGCAGAGAAGGGGAGAAAACCTGCACACAATCCAGTAGATGGGGGAGTGGGGGAAGGCCCTGTACATCACTGGAAACAAGCATGACAGAAGGCAAATATTTTTGTAACAAAAGAGGTGCAAGAGGTGACAAGAATGGATAGATGGCTCCACAAGAATACAGGTAACACCACTCAGGAGAGACAACAGGCAAATACAGTAAAATAAGAACAGGATAGAAAATAAGAGCCAGCAAAATGAATTGAGCAGAGGTGTCAGTGGCAGATTTCCACCACCTACAGAGCCATCACTCAGCTGAAAATGGGTATCACCAGCCACTGCTGCAAGCAAACGCCCACTGCGGGTGCGCAAGCACCAACCTCCATCACTTTTCCATTCCTTACTCAGCCCTCAAATGTGACACCTTTATGACTTTATTTGATGTCATTTGCATGGAACCAGTCTAATGACCTGGGGAGGGGTGGGTATGTCAGGCCCAGGGTCATACCACTGCCACGCTTGGTGGTACAGGGGAGGAGTCAGGGGCCATGGGGCAGTCAGAGGTCACACCGGCCCCCTCCAGACTGTGATGACCACATCCCTGGGCACCATCAGCACCGGTGGCCTTGGCCACAGCAAGCACAGTGGGACCCCGGCACCAGCCGTGAGGGGGGACTGACAGACTGCAGCAGCAGGAGCAGGACAGCCAAAGGGGGCAGTGGGGCCTGAGGGGAGGAAGGGCCATGTGGCACGCGGGGAATAGCGCGAAACAGAGCAAATGGGACAAAAGAAGGGAAAAATCAGGGGTAAACCAGGAAAAAGCGGGGCAACGCTGAGAAACAGGAGAAAATAGGATGAAAACGGCATAAACAAAGGGAAAACTGAGGCAGAAATGGGGCAGTGGGGGGAATCTGGGGCTGGTTATGGGGCAGGGGGAACAACTGAGAGGTAAACTGGGAGGCAGTTATGGGACACTTGGGCAGGTCTGGGGCAGCAGGGGGGAACTGGGGGCAGCCCTGTAGCTCCTGATGCAGGGGCTGGGGCCAGTGATGTGGGCAACAGGAACAGCCCTGGCCTCTGAGGACACCAGTCTGGCCCACTACATCCCAGTACCACACATGTACCACCCGGGCTCACCTACCACCATGCCAGTATGGGCCCAGCATTCCCAATACAATGCCAGCCTGAGCCATGGGTCTTCAAACACGATCCCAATACAGGTCAGTGTTCTAGTATGAACTCCCAATGCTCCCAGTACAATGCCAGACTGGGCCACAGGGTTCAGAGCATGACCCAGTACAGCAGTAATGCTCCCAGTAAGGTGCCAGCCTAAGTCATGTCTTCAGGCATGAACCCACTATGGGTCCAGTGCTTCCAGTACAGCACCAACACTGCCTGTACTATGCCAGTCTGGATCACAGCTCTCCAGGTAGGATGCCAGTATGACCCCAACACTCCCAGTGTGGACCCTGCACTCTCAGTACAATGCCAGCCTGAGACACAGCTGCCATCCAGACCTCAGTTTGGACTCCAGTGCTCCCAGTATGATGCCAGCATGACCTACATTAAACTTAAGATCTGAATATGAGCCCCACTGTTCCCAGTATGGACCCAGTGTTCCCGGTACAGTGCCAGTCTGGGCTGCAGTTCTCCGAGTATGAGCCCAGTATGGGCCTCATGCACTCCCTGTGTTCCCAATATGCACCTTAAGGCTCCCAGTATGGACCCTGAGCCTCTGAGTGCAGCTCCAGCGCTCTCCCAGTGTGGTCCTAAGCTCCCAGTACAGGCTCTGAGAGTCCCAATGCACTCCCAGTGCTTCCAGTACAGGCTCTAAGGCTTCTAGTATGGGACCTATAGCTTCAAGTGCAACCCCACTGCACTCCCAGTGTGGCTCCCAATGATTCCAGTACAGGTCCCAGGGCTCTCAGAGCACTCCCAGTACAGGCTTCAGTCCTCCTCCAGTGCACTCCTAGTGCTTCCAGTATGGGCTCCAGCACTACCAGTACAGGCCCCCATGCTCCCAGCACATGCCAGCAGTTTTTTGCTCCAACCCGTCCTGGTGCCTCCTTGGGCCGAGCCCCCCAAATCCTTGGAATTCCCCTCAGAAATAATGTCACCAGCCTGCCATCGCCTTTATTGGTGGGTGGGCACATTGGGTCACAGGATCAGGCCCCCCCCAGTGAACTCCATCCGCTGCCGAAGGAAAAGAGAGAAAGCAGGTGAGTGGGGGGACCCTGGTATCCAGGGCAGCAGGGGTGGGGGGACCCCAGGTCTGGGTGTACCTGTGGGGGAGCAACGAAGGCCAGCCAGTCAGAGGGGCGGGTGGGAAGCAGACCCATGGCCTGGCACTTGTAGAGGGCCAGTGCCAGCCCCAGTCCATTGCCCACCAGGAACACCAGCCCCTGAAGTGCCCGCCGACTTGAGCTCTCCAGCGCCTTCAGTGCTGTGGGGAGGACAGGGCCAGATGGGGGGACCCAGCACTGTCACCCACACGCTGCACACCTGGCACCACAGGGAAGTACCAGGGGTACCGACAGGTGGGTGGGGAATGGCAGGGGAGCACCATGGGGGAGAGCCTTGGGAGAGGGACAGGGCGGATGGCACAAGGGTTCCTGCTGGGTGACTGGGGATGTGTGGGAGTGACCAACATGGGGGGGGGGGGCTGTCATAGGGG